TCTATCCACAGGAACCTTGAATTGGGGCAGTTTTCTTTTATCAGCCCTCAACTTGACCCTATTTTTTCTCAAGCCCAGCAATTAGAAAATGAGAGGGAGGGACTGAGTTTAGCTGCCGGTGGTCCAGGTATAGACTCTCCAGTATCAGATTGGAGTTTGTTGAACACTAGTTTTTGGAATAAAGAAGAGCAACAGTCACTATTTAAACAGAGGAAAGATGAATTTTATAATAGCTGTCTATATTGGAAGCATTGACAATGTGGTTCCAATTTGAAAAACACTGTCTAAACTGTCTAAATTAAACAAGGAGAGAAGCAACCTAGAACTAAGAAGAAATTTCCTGACAGAACAATTAATCAGTGGAACAACTTGCCTCCAGAAGTTGTGAATGGTGCAACACTGGAAGTTTTTAAGAAGAAATTGGACAATCATTAGTCTGAAATGATATAGGGTTTCCTGCCTGAGCAGGAGATTAGACTAGAAGTTCTCCGAGGTCCTTCCAACTCTGCTATTCTATTCTATTCTATTCTATTCTATTCTATTCTATTCTATTCTATTCTATTCTATTCTATTCTACTCTACTCTACTCTACTCTACTCTACTCTACTCTACTCTTCATCTTCTACTTAACCATCCCATCTAGAACACTTTATATCAGACACACCTATACAAACTGAACTTAGAAAGTAGCTGGCTAGAAAGATTCTACTGAAAGTTATTTGGTGAATTTGAGACAATACCTTTAAAAAAGCCTGGCTAGCTGAAGAGGATGACTTAGTACAGTTCTCCAGTTTTCAATGATGGTATATCTCTACCCCAAAGTTAAAGAATAAAGAGCGAGTTTCTGGGTTTATGCATTCTTACTAAGGAAGAACTGCAATGGCAAGGTGAGAAATTATATATTGGGGATAATCTACCTCATACTGGCAGTCCCTGACTTATGACTGTTAGTTTAACAATGGTTCAAAGTTATAACAGAAAAAATGACTTATGACTTGTACTTGCACTTATGATTGTTGCTCCATTCCCATAGTTATGTGACTGCATTTACAACCAGTTGCTGCATCTTGCGATCACGATTTGTGACTCTTTCTACTGATTTCTTTTTCCAAATTTCCAGCAAAAAAGGCAAAAAAAAAATGCCTACTGGGAAAGCTGGATTTACTTAATGACTGTTGTGATTCTCTTGGAACAACCACCATAAAAATTGTCATAAAATCAGATCCAACTCAATTTACGATCATAAAGATTACAACAGAAATTCCAGTTCGATTATGGTCATAAATCATGAACTACTTGTATACTGGCCATGAAATTCAGATACAAAGATTTTGAACTTTGAACTGGTAAAAGTTTATATTTCACTAAATACATCATTTTATTATAATTCTGACTATTAGGCATGTTTAGAAATAATTACTTTGCATACCCAAATTATAATTATTTTACTTAGAGAGTTTAATGCTAAACTAGACAAATCTCTATTATGTTCCACCATTTTTTTTCATTGCTGGCACTTGATAATCTTTACAGATGTTCCAGCAAATCATTTGGGCAGCTGTCTTATATCATTGTTTATAATCAGTCTATGTGATCTACTTGTACAATCTGAATATTATTATTATGATTAGTTGCATGGTGAGTCAGATGTTTAGACTGGATTTGACATTTTTATGTAGCTCTCAAGTCCTTCCCAAGGACTTGGAATAGACAGATGTTTGTTGTATCTGGTTTTAAAGATATACTAGTTTCAATAGTAGTACTGTACAATTATTCCATTTCTTCAGATACTCTTCCAATGACCTTTTCTTTTCTTCAATTGTCTGGTGTACTTGCAAAATTTTGCAAAATTGCAAAATGACCTGTGTTTTTTGGTAAGAAGTCTGTCAACATTTGTTCATCAATGAAAGGCAAGATTCATTGTAATTATTTTTCTAATCTTTCTATCCACAGCTCTTTTTTTTCTGCTTGAGCCTAGTCTACTACTCTAGTTGTGTATCTAATGACTGGAATTGCTCAAGTATTAATTGCCTTGATGGCATAGCCTCCACTGAATTTGGACTTTTAGATCTTCTTTACTCTCAGAATACATTCACTTCTAACTTCCTTCTTGATTTCAGTAGGCTTGATGTCAGCTTGAAGAATGCCTAGAGATTTGTAGAGATCTTTTTCATCCAAACTCTTAATATTATTATTTCCTTAGGGCATTTTGTTTCCTTCAGTTTTCACTATTTTTCCCGTTAATAAGGGTGGCACATTTGTCCAGTCCAAATTCCATTGCAATATCTTGGCTGCATTTATGGACGCTGTTGACCAGCAATTCTATTTCCCAAATAACCTCAGAACACCCATATAAAGGAAGTGGGATTGCCTGGCAGATGTTTTTGATGTTTGATAGTCATGGCCTGACTTGTTCAGTATTGTTGGCAAAGGAATTAGTGCAATAATAAACAGTAGTGGTGATAATGAGTCTCCCTGAAAGATTCCTTTCTTGATATTAACCTCTCCTAGTCTATCACCATTCATCAGGAACACCATCTTTCATTGTGCCATTGATCTTTGCACAAAACTGTTGATGTTTCTACTGACTCCTGTTATTTCTAGGAACTTGGTCATCAAATCATATATCTATTATTATTATTATTATTATTATTATCATCATCATCATCATCATCATCATCATCATCATCATCATCATCATCATCATCATCATCATCATCATCATCATCATCATCATCATCATCATTGATATGGTTGGTCCCACAAGCATCCAGATGCCAAATCTTGCCAAGCTCCTCTTTGGGATACAGCAATTCAGCAAATGGGAATTAAAGGTATGCATTCATTTAATCCATAAGGAGAGTGGAAAATAATAAAGGGATTCACTTTTATTGAGTATAGATCTATTACAAGTAGTCAAGTATTTACAATTATGGTCTAATCTTCAAATTCTCTTATGTTTGTAGGATTATTTTACGAGGGATCCTTGGTGCTCTCTGAGCTTGGTAGTTTTCTTGCAGACATTTCATTGCCCCCAAATTAGACAACATCATCATTGCACTGATGATGTTACCTAGTTTTGGTAATGAAACATCTGCAAGAAAATAAACTTAGAGAGCACCAAGGACCCCTCGTAAAATAATCCTACAAACATAAGAGAATTTGAACCCTGATTTCAACCCTGAGTTACAGATTTTCTCCTTTAAGGGTTATTTTACTTTGTGCAGAATAGAGAGGAGAATCTTGCAACCCTATGCGTCAATGAAATTATGCAAGGCATCAAGTCCAGCTTCCTGCTCAATGCTGGATTCCAAATTACACCACACATTACAGAAAACTGTCCTATTACTTCTATTAATTTGAAGGGTGATGAGGGAGTGGAAGAGTAACTAAATCTCCCACAAAATATCCTTTTAAAGGTCAAAGGCTTTTCCAAATTCAAATTTATTGTAAGGAGTGGGGATAAAAACACCATTCAACCCAATAATCCTTGTGTGTTTGTTTGTTTCCTTGCTTAGGTCCAGCTGCAAACTCTCAGTGCTTCAATTCCTAATCACCTTCATTGTTATTCTGGGATTCTTTTGAAGCTGTTTATCCTAAGAGAAGGCAACAGCTAGCTCACTCTTTTTGTGATGTGCTAAGAAGCTGAAATGAGGCTCTGGTATCCCTCAAGCTTCACTCAAAAAACTATTCCCAATGGGCAGAAATGAAATGACTATAGCTCAGAAAGGTATGCTTGAACAGAGATGGAAAATGGCAAGAGAAAGTTGACAACCCAACTGTTTTAAGTCTAGATAGCTTTTCTTTGGAATAGAAGTCAGATTTGCGGCAGGATATTTTAGAAAACCTTATGATGCCTTATGATTACACCAAATCTTTCTTTTCATCTGGAAAAAAACTTGAAAGCATTTTCCCCTATTTAAGTGAAGGAAGAAAATTGCAGAATACATTTTCAACAAAGCATTAGTGCTGAAATGTTGTAATATTATGGTATTAATATAAGATTTTGAGACATTCATTCATAATGCATTCACTGACTACATGTGAGAATTCTGACATAATGTAGCTAACCTGCCCATCATTATTTTTCCTTCTTATCACTTAATATTCTTCAAGGACGTGAACCAATGGGCAGGACTTTTTGTCCTCTCAGTTTTTTTCCCAACGCACATAGAAATGCATCATTCTTCTTCTTCTTCATAACATGTACTAAAGATACAATTTGAGAAGAGGGAACTTTGCAGCATTTATCAAGGCTGATCCAGTGTCTACCTATGGTGTATGTGCATGAAACTATGTTTCAGGAAGATGGGCCACATACTGAGATTCAGTGAAGCAGTCACCTTGAAGGATGGACTGAGACAGATGCCAAACTGTCCATCACACAAAATGGCTCTCCTATCAGCACTACTATGAGAAGATCCTGGGAATGATGTGAGCTGTCCATTGGGTCTTCAATCCAAGTATTAACCGAATAGAACCTGCTTAATTCTCTCTCTCTGCCCACACACACACAGATCTGCAAAGTTGCTAAACTACCTACCTAGATTCTTAACTTATAATAAATTACTACCGCAATAGAATGAGACAACTAGTTGAAAACTGGAAGTGACCATTATTCTCACACATAAAAGTTCCAGGCTTAATCCATCAAATCCACAATAAAAAAAACTATAACTGACACATAGGGGCATGTGTACTTGCTTACTTCACTGTCCTATGCTCCTATATATAATATTACACTGGTACAAAAGATCTGATCTTATCTGTTCAAACCATAATTTTATTTCAGTTTTAAATATGCATTGTCTCCTTTGCCTCAATTTAAGAATCACAGAATCCAAATGAAGAACATGGCAAGCTTGATAAATCAATCTTTAAATCTGTGGCAGATGTGAATTATAATTCTACTCTATCCCTCCCTGCAAATTTCTTAAAGGAGCACATGCACCCATATCAAACCATATTACATAGTTTATTGTGAAGTTTATTGAGCTTACCCTGAGCATGGGTCCGTTCTGGAATACATGTGGTTCATCACAAACTACACAATATTCATTTAGTACAGGTATCCTCTGCTCAGCAAACTCAATTGTCTGAGAACAACAGAAAAGAGAATAATACAATCTGCTTAAAATAATTAATAAGCAGCTCAGCCTCCTCCAAGTTTGTAAAACTCATCAGGCATTCTCACCTACCTGCACAAGAAAGCCGTGGTCTCTTATAGGAACAGATTTTGCACCATAATTTGGCTGTTTAAAAACAAAGAAAAAGTAACATCAGGCTGGAAGTTTGAATATGTATAAGCCTTGATATAATTTAGTATTACTTATAATATAACCATGCAAACTAAACAGTATTCCGTTCCCAGAGGGCATTCAGAACTATTTGCTATTTTGCTAGAATTTAGTTGGATCTTTCTAAGTAGTTCTGTGCCCAGTGCATTCATTTATCAATGCACTAGGGGGAAAAGTTGAAAATAATTCATTTGCAAGGGGCAAAAAAAGTGAAAACAATCTGTCGTTTTTAAAATGCTACTTCAATATTCATAAATAATAAAACCCCAAGAGAAACGTAAGACCAATACTGGTTAGGCTGCCCATTCCATTACCATCACTGTTGAGAGTTTGGAGTTTGTTTCTCCGATCCAGACCATATTTGGTGATAAGAACTAGTGTTCTAATATGTAATAAGTTCCTTCCTTCCTTCCTTCCTTCCTTCCTTCCTTCCTTCCTTCCTTCCTTCCTTCCTTCCTTCCTTCCTTCCTTCCCTCCCTCCCTCCCTCCCTCCCTCTTTTTATACTGGAAGAACACAACCTGAAATGTCATGGTTACCTATAGCTCAAAAAAATTCTTTTATTTCTTTATTTCTAATTTTAACACGATGGAAGGAGTATAAAGTTAAATATGTGAAAAGTAATCCTATTAACTGCATGTAATTCAATTAACTTGGGAAGTTAAAGCACAATTTGATTTTGTCTAAGGTTTGCTTACTTTGGGGTGTGTATCCCTTAACAAAGTGTCACCTTGGCCTAAAGAAGCTTATTTCTTCAGCAGAGGTGAGCCCAGATCCAAAAAGCCTGAAACCAAAGTCAGCCCTAGTGTGCAAGGAAGTTCAAAATCTTGCACAAGTTATATTCATTTATCTGTCTGGAACAGATTTCCAAGGACTCCTCAATGAGACTTTATCAAATGAGCTCAATTAGACTAGGAAACTTTATGAAGCCTGTTCCTCTGTGCTCCCAAAGCACAGAAGCACCCTTAGCTTTGATCTGTGGATTAATTCTGGAAATCAAAGTTCTAGAGTAGTTTTGCATAGCTCTGTGTGAGCTGTGAGCAGTAGAGGTCTCAGACAAAAAAGAAGCAGAAGGTGGAAGAGAAAGAAGACTATATATTTTTGTGTTTCTTCCTTAACTGTTTGTCCAAAAAATGTTTTCTTCCTTGAAAGTGGAGCCAGAACTGAGAAACAAGAGGGAAATATCAACATGTTCAGAGAAAACCAAATGCAGAAACGATGAAATATCAGGAGGTGTATCCCAATCACCTGAACATAGTCTATAAAATCACTTGGGAGTGGGGTGGGGAACCACAAAATAGTTTATGGAAAACATTATGGGATAAGAACATTCCTGTTAAGAAGTGGAACATTTTGTTTAAGGTTCTTGTGGTATTCTCTTATTTCTGCTCTTCAAACTAATGAACTATCTCAAGCTTGCCCTTACATTACTATTCTGACTTTATGGAATAATAATACGTATATATTATTGGGCCACAGCTGGTTAGAAAATGCAAAGATTTTAGTATTTTAGGGATGCAAAGACAACTATTCGCTATACATCAGCATCTTAGCAGTAATTAGTAGTAATTCTAGTATGGATCACCCAGCAATAGTGTACCTCCACAGAGATCCTTCCATCATAATTGAATTGCACACTACTGAAGTTCCCTCCAAGGCTAAATCACTTTCTCTCCTCTGGAGCAGTATTTCTCAACCTTAGCAACTTTAAGAGGTCTTGATTTCAGTTCCCAGAATCCTGGGAGTTGAAGTCCAGATGTCTTAAAGTTGCCATGGTTGAGAAGCATTGCTCCAGAAGCACTGGGACTATGAATCCCAGTCAATATGACCAAGGTTATGCTGTCTGGGAGTGCTGGAAACCGCAGGCCATCTTTTTCTCAATTGTTACAGGTAGGGATTATATTGCTCTATGCATGTTAATGTCACCTACATTTATATATGTTTCCATTCACATATTATATCCTGTACACACTAACTGCCACAAAGACGTAATAGTTGATAGCATGAGAAATTGAAATTGGATTGTTTAGTGTAAGACATGATACAGGTTATTCAGTAATCATTTCTGACCATTCTATTCTTAGTACTAAGAATTTCCCATTATACCTTGTGGCATTATTTAGTATATCTGTGAGAGCTACTTCCTAGAGTACATTGTGTACGAAACAATGTAATGTCTGAAGGAAGATTGGTTATAATAACTCTATTAAATATTGCTATAATGAGAAAATGCTGAAAATCTTCTGGATGCATGCATTAGTGTGTGGCACTCATAACTTACAGACATTAGATACAGACATGTGCACCCACCCACAGCATACAAACACAACTTGCTGAAAATAATCCATCCATCCAGAATTGATACACAGTAAACCAGTAAATGTCTGACTTGTATAGTAGCATATCCTTTCATTTTTCCTCCTCTAAACCCTTTAATATTTGCTTCTTAGCCAATATTTGCTAAGAATTATAGTTTAATTCAGCAAGGTTTAGCAGTATAGATCAAGAACTGGTAATTCAGATCAAGTTACCTGCCAATCCTGAAAATAATCAAATAATTTCAAATGAAATTAATATAAAATGTGCACAAAACTCATAAACCAGCCTCTCCCATAAAATCTCAGGTCATTCATTGACAAAGGTAACTGGGCCATCATACTGAATTGTACAGTGATGCTTAAGGCTTGCAATGTTTATCAAGTCTGGTTATGTAGAAGGATTTTTTTTTCTCTAAAATTTCAACTTTTTTTTTTATGTGGTTCCAAATTTATAAATGAAGATACTCTGGCTTCCTAAGATGCCTGTGCATTTAACCATTCTAAAAGTATGTGGGAAGGAAAAAAGCTCACAGAAGAAAACAATTTACGCACAGCAGATGGCGATGATGAAGATGTGGATGGTGTTAAGATACCAATAAGCCCTGAGGTAAGAGAGAGTCTCCTGCCCTCTGTTATTGTGGGTTCTTTGAAAAGTTCCATTTTAGATGATTTGGGGGCACTGGAATAACTCTTGCTGAGTAACTTGTGGTTCTTCAACCCATCTAATTCATCCATCCTAAGATTACTGGAATAAGACCTGCTTAAAAGTTTGTGGGGCTTCAAAGTACTGTTGTGCTCACATCGCATATCCCCAGAGCATGGTCTATTCAGCAGTTTGTGGGACTTTAACGCGATGCCTTCATCCTGCTTAATGGTTGCAGAGCAAGAGTGGTTCAACAGTTTGTGTGACTTAATGGTCATTGCATGTTCAGCCCTAGGATCGCTGGACAGAGAGCGACCAAAGGTTCTGTGAGATTTTGCCACACATGAGTCCTCAGCTTTAACTGTGCTAGAACAAGTCCTCCTCAATAACTTGTGGGTTTTTGAGATACCATCTTGTTCAGGTTTCAGTTTTGATTTGTTTTTCCCACAGCCTGGTGGAGGATAACTCGGCGACCTTAAAGACAATCAGAGAGAAGAATTAATTAGAGTACATGTAGGCCCTAGATTAGTATGAGACACATCAACATGAACATGTTTTTCTTCAGCTTCAAATTGCAGATCTTCCATATAACCAGTAAATGTTTTGTTGGTTTTCAATATATTTGTGGTATAACACATACAGCAATACACACACATACACCCACACATCCTTTATTTTTGACAAATGTGTGGAACTTTCTGTTATCAGATTTGGCAAGAATACAAATGTAAGAACATCAGAAGCTGTAATTCATTCAGTTACTTGCACTGAGTGGAAAATATTTTCCCAAATTTAAGATAGGAGTCTTTCTTGCATTATTTGAAGAGATTGAGGTTGCAACTTGCTGCATGTAAAGTAGATGGAAGGTCCTCTGATTGGCTTATGATTGGTTGTGATGACAATGAGATCAATTAAAATCATTCTATGAACAGCAAATAAGTTGCCAGTCCCAGATTGAAGAAAGCCAAGCAGCAGACTAACTATATAACTTGCAATTGTTTAAATATTTGTGTGTGTGTTTGTGTGTGTGCGTGTGTGTGTGCATACACATGTGTATGAGTCTTCAAGTCAGTGTTAACTTTCAATGGCTGCCTGGAGTATTCCTTGCAGTTTTCTTGGCAAGTGGTTTGCCATTACCTTATTCCTTGAGCTGACAAGAGAGTGACTGGCCCAAAGTCACTCAGTTGACTTCAAACCAAAGGTATGATTAGAACTCATGGTCTCCCAGTTTCTAGTTTAGTGCCTTAACCACTACACCAAATTGGCTCTCAAATATTTGATAGTGAGTACTTGCCAAGTCTCCAACTACAATTTATTACTTAAACTAATTTATTAAATAATAAAAAATTACATAGTCTTCCTAAGGCAAAACAATAACTCATCTCTTTTTTATTAAATCAATGATAATAGAATAGATAACAGAAAAACATTCTCTCTGCTCAAGTCTTTTTTTTAAGTTATATTGATTATTTTGTTCAATGCCTGTTTTCTAAAATTGATATTGAAACATTGGCTCTATAGGGTTTCTTACATAAAGTCAGTGGTGGGATTAATGCCTTGTGGGAAAACCAAAAAGGATTTAATTGACCAATTAACTATTGTACAGGGATGGAATTTCACCTAAAATACATCCTGTCATACATACAAATTCCACCTAGTCAATCAATTCATACAACTATCTAAAACAACCAGATAGCCCTACTCCCCCAAAATAAAATGTAAATAGAATAGCAGAATAGCAGAGTTGAAAGGTACTTTGGAGGTCTTTTAGTTCAACCCCCTGCTCAAACAGCAGACTCTATACCATTCCAGACAAGTGGCTGTCCAGTATCTTCTTAAAAGCCTTCAGCCTTCTGAAGACAAGCTGTTCTGCTGATTAATTGTTCTCATTGTTAGGAAATTTGTCCTTAGTTCTAATTCTGACCTTGATGACTTTCCATCCATTGTTTCTTGTCTTGCCTTCTGGTGCTTTGGAAAATAGATTAAACTATTTTCCAAATTATAATTTTAATTCTAAATTTGTTAGAGGTGAGAAGTTGAAAAATCCAGCCTGCGATGGATCTGTAATGGAATTCTGAGTCTGAGAGTAGATGCTTTTGAAATCTGGCACAACCAGAAGAGATTAACATTATTTTTTATATCTTATAAGTGGGAAACAATCTTCTCCAAGTCAAGAAAGAATTAGAAAGAGGATCAAGGGCATAAAGGAAGTCCTGCCTTATCTTGCTCACTGACTAATGAGAGCTAAAATATAAATTCAATAATCTAATCTTTCTCTTGTCATTGACCTGACTATAATAAGACTATGAAAATCTATTTTTATGGGTTATATACTGTAGTTGGGAGATTGACACATACCTGCTGTCAGGGATTGATACCACCGAATATATCTCTCAAATAATGATTGGCTGCAGTGGTTGCTTTTCTAGCCAGCAGAGAAGAAGCTAATGATAGTGTGATTTTTTTGCCAATAATTTGGTAACACAAAGACTCATAGGAAATCAAAGTCCTAGAGAAAGTATATAGGGCTTTATAATCTCAAAGTAGTAAGCCTTTTTAAACTGCATCAGTATGTTTGTGTGTTGTAGAACCACTGATAGATTAATTTGACCATTTTAGTGACTCTGTTGTGGGAAGAAGAGTCACTGAGGATTCCAAATAACATTACCATTGTCTATCAATTTATGAGTGGAAAAATGCTTATAAATTAGCATATGGATAATATAGTAGTTCTAAAAACACGTTTTTAACAGTTACTTTGTAGCAGGCAGCATTTCAGAAAAGAAAATTTCTCAACTTTGTAAAATAGAAGTGATGCAACTTCTAAAAAGAACACTTTCTTTCTGCAGTAATGTTTATCTTTTTTTAAAAAAAAATCTTTTTTTAAAAAAAAAGACAAATGGGTTGCCTGATTAATTGAAAACAGCATTTCAGTTGGATGGTATTCAGTTCATTAAGCAATTAAATTACACAGCTGCCTTTTTAAAAATGATAATTTGTTAAATAGAACAAACAAAAGAGTAAAGACAAGGTGCTTCACCAATTATGCAAATAATCTATGTTAGGAACACAGCTTAATAGTTATTTCATGGTTCTGTGAATTTTCTCCATCAAGACACTAAGCAGATCAGCAACCTCCCTAGCAGTGAGATCTTACAAGATGTAACTGAAAAATTATAAGTGTATTTTTTGAAGTGTCTACTATATTTACTGTGCTACTAATAGATCTCTGCAAGGCAGTGCCACTTCCGGTCCCTTCCTTTAACGTAATACACCTAGACGTCTTGAATAAGGTACTTTTTATTTGACTGTTTTGGATACAAAGAGGAATCGACTACACAGTGTAGAGATCTATCACACTTGATAAGTCACTGTATGTCTGTCACTGTATGTATGTCTGCATAAATTTTATTTCCCTTGATGACTCTATAAAACCTGTGTCAAAGTTGCATACCTTTTGAGATCTGTGAATATAATGAATACTAAAGGCTATTTTAATTGGACTAGAATTTTTAATAGCATAGGGAATTTCTGTACATGTATACTTAAAATCAAAGAGTTAGAATCCAAATGAAATCAGTTACAAAAACTGCATGCAAATCCATTTTTTCGGTTGGCAGATTTATGGGTAGGAGATGGCTGATAGATATAAAAAAAACCCTGCAACCTCCTCAGAGTGAAACAGGAATGGACAAATAATTACTCTCTATGTGGCATCAGTTCAGCCTTTGGATATGAATGATCTGCCACTAGGACATGGCAAAATACCAAGAAGAATGAGATTTCAGCCTGGGATCCCCTCCAAATTATGCCGATCTATCAATAGATGAGAGGACCACTCCGATTTGGGATGCATAGGTGAGATTACATCAGGCATATTTTTCTAATACTGCTAATATTTATTTTCTTTGGAAACAAAGGCCAAAGAAATATTCACCAAATCAGAGAAGACTAAATGGAGGTGCTTCTCACTTCCCATCCACCCCAAATATACTAATCTTTTTCGTTCTGGAGGCACTTTCCAGGTTGATCATATGGACATAAACTGTCACATTCTCATATAGCAATTTCAGGATACATCAAGGAATGAACCTCTATTTTGTAAAGAGACTGCCTTTATCATATATAAAGAAGAGACCTTTTGGCAATCATCAAAACTGTTCAGAAATGAACACAACTACCAATCACTCCCTTTATGAGTTTTTCCCCCCAAGAAATTCAATAGACTAATTGGACTATATTCCTTTTCTTCACCAGGGATGCCTTGGGAGAAGAAAAAAAAAAAAAGCAAAATTAATTACTAGCAGGACCTATGGCAAAAGATTTTTAAAATCCCACGTTTGTTGAAAAAAAATAAAGTTAGTCATCAAGCCTGTGCTGAAAGTATGTGACAAGATTTGACCAAAAACCTATAGCAAAACTCTCTCTCTTTTTTTAACAAAACAATAAGGTATGCATTTTATCACTTCCTCCTACCTGCGCAATGTAGAAAAGATGTGCAGGGGAGATTTCACTTTCTTTTCTGAGAATTTTTTGTTGTGCATACTGTTTGATTTTTCTTTGCCATTTTTCCATTGCTGTGTAACAAATGTTTGCATAATTCTGCAAAATATGAAACAAACAACTATTCTGGGAAGTCTGGCAATACAGAACAATCAATCAATCAATATAGTGCATGCATATCTTACCCAGAATGGAAATTTAAGTCTAAACTGACAACGAAAGTCCCGGAAATCTATGTTCTGTTTCAAACTGGATTTGGTTGATTGAACTGAAATGTTCTCACTCTTATACTTTCCTAGTAACCACTATCTTTAGCTTTTATAATAGAAGCAAGTATAAAAGTCTAGTATATCAGAATCTCTTTTAACACATGTACTATATGCCCAAAGCTTTCTGCAACTCTTTCAGCAGTTGAAAAAAAAATACAGAAAAAAAGATGCAACGTGCATTGTAGTCCATTTAATCACCCTTAATTTATCCTCCATGCTGTTAAATACAATCTATGGGTAGCATTCTTATAAATGATAAGGAATGGATTTTTCACTTTCTAATCTATTCTGCAGAATATCAGTATATTGATATTCCCTGGAGATTTCCATTCAAATCCTCCCAGTTACAATATCTGAAACTTCCATTCCAAAAAACAACAGGTTTCCTGTTTTAGGTATATAAATAAGGCAGGATTCATCAGATTTTCTTTTCTGTCAAAAGCATAAAATTCATAAAATTATCTCAAAGTGGCCTAAAAGTCTTGGCTTCTTGAATTTTTCAAGAGACCAACTCTAAAAAAATACAACTGTGCAATTCAAGAATTGCTGATTTAGCTTTTGGGTTTGTTCATGTCCAATACATTTATATAAGATTGACCTTAAATATCCATTCATAAATTCTGAGAAAATAAAAAAGCAAAATTATTTCAATTTGTGACAATCATGCAAGGCATTGTAATATTCAAATATAATTATTTATCTAAGTGAGGAAACTGCAAAAAATGTTAATTTTTTTACATAGATTATAAAATGAAATGGTAAATTTTGATGCATTTTTGGGGTCATCAGAAACATTGCTATAGTTGTTAATAATTTAAAGTGCATTCACTATAAAATACTGTAGCCAAAAACAACACCTCACAATGAGAAACAAATACTTATGCCTAACACATTTATGTCTCTCTTTGGGAAAACTTACTTCTTTAGCTGATGCCCCAGTCCAAATCTTTCCTTAGTAGAGATCTGAAATACATCAATGGTGGGCACTGTAGAATAAAAGATATTGTTGAAAAAACAGGGGCAAATATATTGTTTAAAAGTCATTATTAATTGTATTGTATGGTACAGCTGGGTAATCCATGGCTCTAAGAATGAGGTGCTTCAATCCTCATTCAAAGATACCCAGAGCACTCCATAATTATAGTTTTAACTTTGGGAGAAAAATTATATATTTTCAGTGGCACTCTTTACTCTTTTGGGGGGAGAAAGAGAGAGAAGAGGAAGTATAAATTAAGTCTCCACAAGGCAAAACATTCTTTTTCCACTCTAAACTCCTGCTGAGCCATCTCCAAATACTGAAAACCTTTCAACCTGCCCTTCTGATGATATTGCTATATCATTAGAGACATTCCCTCATTGGTCCCAGAAGCTGTTAAAAAAACAAAAAAACCTAAAGCCTCTAAACTTATCCCACTGTTATTATATGAGCAGAATGAAATACGTGTTACAATTAAGGTAAATCATGTATTAGAAAAAACACTTAGAGCTGTCATAACAATGGATAAAAAAAGATCTGCAGCATCCATGCCAGCAACGTTTTCCAGTGATAAACACAATACATCTAGACAGCTATGAATAACCTCTGGAATTGATTTGGAATAGAGTTGCTTAATTGGATTCCATTCAGACAGGTGCTGAATTTCATACAGATTCCAATTACATGAGAAACTACAATTCCCACAATCTTAGTGTTCACCAAACAATACCTCCTCTTCTTACCACTGCTTCTATAAGTAGGATGAGCTTAAGAACAAGTGATGAGAATAATTTGCAACGATGTGTCCAATTCAAATGTGCTAATGAAACCAAGCAAATTGTTGTAATTTGAAACTGTGGTCATAACTGGAATTCAGATGAATAGGAAATTTGTGGCCCACAACATCCTCAAATCTGACTACATTATTGTGGAGGAGAATTACTGGTCCTATCACAAAACTGAATTCCTTAATTATGTCATTAACCCAGGTTCGGATTCCCATCTTGGTAGGGCAAGCTTATATGTTCAAAGGACAAGAAAGATTGCCCCATAGAAATGTCCTGACACATTTATCCTACATGGACCAGAAGCCAATCTAGTCCATGGTTCTCCTGTCAGAAATTATTCTACACGTAATGCTCTCTTTACAACTGGAGTACAACTGCCAGTACTTCTGTCGTTAAGTGACACAATCCTGAAGTAAGCTGTGCCCAATTTTACATTCTTTTTTTGCATAATCATTAAGCAAATCCAACTTTTCCTCTTGTTTTTGCTTGTCAAAAGCCCCAGAAAAAACTGTAAATGGCAATCAAGTGATCCCAGGATATTGCAACCTCCGTAAACACAAATTTTGACCAAAAGAACACTGCAATGGTTGTAACTTTGAATGATTATTAACAAATGGTCATAAGTTGAGCACTACCTGTAGTTGACAATTCTCACCACTTATGGAAGTCTTGCTCACCAGAGGCAGAAATGATGATGTAGAAGAACGTGCTACCTCTATCTGATTTTAATGGCTGTTAACACTATTAAGCACAGAAGCTTTTCAGTAATGTTTTAACCTGAATTTTATATGGGACTGTCCAACCTGCTCATTTGTCAATTCACCTTACTGGCTTTGTCTTCTCTCACTAGTATCAGATCCTCTTTTCACTAAACAGTTTTGTTTTGCTGATTATACCATTCCCTTCATACTTGGACAAAACCCTTATTTATTCTGCGTCTTGTTTGATACAGAATAAAGCAGACTTCTGCTTGTATTTCTCCAAAGCCTTTTTCAAGACAATTCCTTTTTTTACCAACATGGAACTGGGGACAGGGAATTTGTTTTTTGGACCTGGCAAGTTGTGGAGAAGGAAATAAATGGTTAGGCCTTTTTGTGTTTTTCTTGCCATTCTCTGAACATTTCTGCAAGATAGAAACTATTTCATGTTTTCAGGGAATCATAGGGCTTGGAAGAGAGGTGGGGTATTTATTCTCTTGGAGATAAAAGTGATATAATACCAACCGAGAAAAAGAAAGCAGCTTGGTAGGTGAATCAGCCTATTCAGTGATGGCAAGTTAGGAGTGATTTGCACAAAGGAGGGCAAATGTATGTGTCCTAGGACAATGTTGCAGGAACCAATCTGGGTCAGTCATCGGGACCAGAGGTTTAATCTTCTGAGCTTTTGGGTTCATGCTGGAGCCCATCCACAGGGAACTTTTCCTCTCACCAGAATGCGTCACTCAGAAGACTAAACCACTAGGCCCGGTGACCAACTCAGATTGGATAATCTATACATCTTACAATTTTGTATTTCAACCCTGTTACTGGATACAATCCAAAATCCACAGTTATGGGGTAAATGAAAACATCTGCAAGTTAGGTAAATTATGCAGATTCTAAACATTGGAACAGTTTCATGTTTTTTCACTGAGTAAGGAGTTAAACAAAACAGGAAGGTGGTCCATGTGGTGACTGCCATTTTTAGTAGTTGGCAGGTTTGCACTTTTTGTGCCTATCGGATATATCTGACATTGGACCTTGTAGAATTTTATTCAAGCCTTACTTGGCAATAAATGAGTTTGATTTGCAGGGACATTGCCTGAAAAGTTAATGTAGCTGTTGGAGAAATGAATGCAAAGAGAGCAGAGAATACAGAAAGAGAGATATCAATGCATAAAGGCGATGCATAATTTATAAAACAGACCATCTGAAGCAGAAACATTTTGCTATCCATTTATGAGTATTTCATTCCCCATTTATGGTGTGTGCCTGTAAGAAAAAAAAGAGCCCCTGGTTTGTTTTTAAGAAAAAAAAGAGTCTTCCTTTGGTGAAGGACCGACTGGTATGGGTCTATCTAGACCCATACCAGTCGGGCTTCAGGCCGGGGCACAGCACGGAAACGGCATTGGTCGGGTTGGTTAATGATCTCTGGAGGGCCCGGGACAGGGGATACTCCTCTGTCCTTGTTCTTTTGGACCTCTCAGCGGCTTTTGATACCGTAGACCACGGTATCATGCTGCGACGTCTCGGTGAGTTAGGAGTGGGAGGCACCGTTATGCGGTGGTTCTCCTCCTTCCTCACCGACCGTACGCAGTCTGTATTGGCAGGGGGANTGGAAATCATAGCTAGATACTTTTAAAGAAGCTCAGCATTGAAGCAGCACTTGATGTAAACAAAAACAACCTTCAGGGTTACATTTCAAAACTACTTGTATTAGTATAATTAGCTACTGTAAATTATAACAGCTGGTTTAGAAAATTCTAAAGCATGAAAATTACTAAAAGCAGAAGGAATCATTTTATCAAGTGACAGAACCAATTATGATACTGAAATTTGGTTTATTACAATTAAAATAATAGCCTATCAAAATGTAAAACTGAGTGAAGAACAGTCCCCTATAAAAGGCTTATAATGACTTTTATCTCAGCAAATATTTAAAGTGTTACTTAATTGGACCCAGTTTACTGAATCTCTAATGCCATAAGTTGCTATTAATAGAGAACTATAATTTTCTCTATTCTTTTTTCTCCCTTGCAGTATTAATATTTATAAATATATTTGTATACAAGCCTTATTTGCATTCTTAATTGCTTGGCTACAAACCAAATCACCACAACAGCAACTGGAATAATCATATAAGAAGAAAATACTAGATGATAATATGCAGCCTTTTTGAAGTTTTGTTGTTGTTGTTAAGGAGCTGTATCAAAGAACACAATAATTTTTGCTGGAATATCTAGTGATTAACCCTAATTTCTGCCTCAAGTAATCATACTGTACTAATTGCACAAATTACTTGCAGCCTCAGATGATCCAATGTTATACATTAACTTGCAATAATTTAATATATACCATCATAAGTGAATTATTTAGTAAAAATGAAAATGATTAGTCAAATCTATATCACCAATTTCCAAACTGACTCATGGCAATACACTAATAGACGTCCTTGGAAAAAGCTTGACTTCTAATTACTGTATCCATGTAGTTTCTTGACAGGATCCTGTTGCTGTTGCTGTCTTCAGGGACAGTTTCTTCTTGTTTTAGTTTTCAAATCTAGTCCACTGCTCTAGGATTTTCATCCAAGCACTGCTCTAGAATTTTCATCCAGGGTCAATCTTTATTAACTTCCAAATTCAGTGAAGGTCTATAAAGATCTTACTTAGATGGACTACCAGAGAATATCAGGCAGTTGATTAGACTGAGAAATTGAATATGTCTTGGAAATAGGTAGCCATGTTTTTATTGGGAAAACTATGTGTGCATGCCATGAAATCCCCATAACTTAGTTAGTTACTTAGTTTATTTACTTACTTTGATTTATAGGCCACTACAATCCAAAAGAACTCTGAATGGTTTACATATCCCTCTTACAATAAGAAGGCTAAAAATCAGAGTAAACAAACAAAGCAATTTACATTTGAAACTGGAATTGTACTTATGGACCAAGTAGTCTTGTATGCTAATGTTCCCATATAGCAGTTTGCCCAGCTCCCAATTTCAAAATCTCTAGTCTCTAAAATAGTATGTGTGCTGGCAGATATATCTAATGGTGGCGGCAGCAGGGCTCAGACAAGCTGGGAAACCTAAATCTCTTGGGTATAACCTGCTGCCAAAGATATTCTAAGACCTGGCATCATCTGGCATAAAGCTACCCTGTCCATTTTTGCAAAGCTCTGTGCTGGTTCCTGGAAAGACTTCATCTAAACTGGATGGCCCATGCCCTGCTGCTAACTCAGGCTGCTTCTCATGTTGCCCAAACTCCGAACAACATCTTCTCTCAGGAACACCTGACACCATCACCCATCCAGTCCATGGCTTCAAGCATTTTCCACACTTCATTTGGCCTAGATCTCAATCAATCTTCTCCTCTTTTCTCTCTTCTCTTCTTCTGCCATCCAATATAACAAGCCCTCAAAAATCCCTATCTCATATTTTCTTCATTTCCAATTGCATCCAATCTGATCCAGTAACTTTTACTGCACTTTCAATATTTCCCTTTCAATAATTTTCACTCTTCTGTTTTTGTCTACAGCTTCCTCTTCCAACGCTCCTTATGATTGAGCTCAAAGAATATTTTACTTTTAGGTACCCACTATTTTTCAGCATCATTGTATTACTGATTTGTAAGAAATATTGGATATTAAGCTAAAGTTACGTATAATGGTAAGTACAGCTTGCATTCACATAAGCATCCTGATTATTATTTTGTTTTTTCATCTTCTCTTCTAGGATGGTGTAAAGTTTAAAGCTAAGGACATGGGTGGGAGAGAGACATAGGTTCGATTTATGTGACTCCTGGACCACTTTCACTCTCAGCCAACCTATTTCACAGGCTATCATTGTGGGGATAATATATGGAGAGAACCTATGTAAATCTCTTTAAGCTCTTATAGGAATGGAGGGATATCAATAAAATATTTATGTATTGACTATACATTCATACCAATATTCACTTTAAAAGCAAGCAAAACTGTAATGATCAGGAAGACACTCCTGCATCAGATAAGATAGTCCTCTACTTACAACCATTGGTTTAGTAACCATTCAAAGTTACAGCTCTGAAAAAAGGGGCTTATGGCCATTTTCCACATTTACGACCGTTGCAGCATCCCCGTGGCCATGTGATCAAAATTCAGACACTTGGAAACTGATTCATGTTTATGACAATTGCAATGTTCCTGGGTCATGGTGATCACCTTTTTCAACCTTCTGACAAACAAAGTTAATGGGGAAGCCAGATTAATTTAACAACTGTTTTACTAACTTAGCAACCGGAGTGATTCACTTAACAACTGTGGCAAGAAAGGTGTTAAAATGGGGCAAAACTCATTTAACAACTGTATTGCTTAGCAACAGAAATTTTGGGGTCAATTGTGGTTGTAAGTCAAGGACTTGTAATGCTCAAAAAAGAGAATAAAACCTGTTTTTAAACATAAAAACAATAATTTAGACAGCTGATATCATCAAGGCAAATAAATGCATTAATGTTTTTCCAAAACATTATGTTTTTCGCTGGCAGGCGAAAATTCTAAAATTTGGAATATGAATTTAGAATTCTTACTGCGAATGGGGAACATGCTATTGTCCACAATTCATGGCTCCATTGGCCTTAGAAAAACACGCTAGCTTGTAATATTTGAAGCAAAACAAACAAACACCAGTGGACCTTTGGAGCTTTTATTAACCACTCTTGTTAGGGAGAAAGCCGAACAGGGGGCAATGTCCCTTCCAACTCTGTTATTCTGAGATATATACACAAGATATATATGCAACCAACAGCAGTGTTAGAATATACGCTAAGTTTTTAAAAGTCTCCTGCATGACTCAACCATTCCCAAGAAGACAAATTAAAATAGAAAAGGCCTTCTGGAGGGTCAGAAGTTAGAAATTGTTTGTCTCATTATTTTATAGGAAGACATTGTGGAGAAGGGAAAATGCCAGCTTCCTGTACAACTTCTAGCTACAACTCCTGAGTCCCTGCAGATTCAGGGATAGCTACAGTAAGTGCAAAGGCTGCTCTGTAAAAAGGGCATGTGTGTGGGTTGGAGAAAAAGGTAGAAGAAACAGCAGATACCGGAAAACAACAACAACCACAACAAGAGAAGCCTGTGGAGGAAGCACCAGCTGGAATTATAGATATCAAGGCCTGTATAAACAGACTCGCCTACATTTCTATGCTGTCTGGCTGATATCCAGCTCATTTCGCGGACACAGAATAGAACTGGTTCCTCATATTGGAAAGTGTTATTTAAGAAGAAGGACCCAGATGGGCTTTTTCGACCTTTTGAACCTGGAGGAACTCTTGAAATATTTTTTAGGCCTTAAGGAACCCCTGTACCTTCAGGCTCAAATATAGGCCAGAAATTACAAAGTTGTTTATTTATTTTTCACATTTATGATTGGACTATCTCTCTAAAAGAGGGATTCTGGGCAGTATACAAAAATGTTAAAATTTGAAACAGTACCTATAAATGTTAAAAATTTAGGAGGCGGCAAGAGAGATTGAATACTATTAAAATTAGTTAAAAGGCGAGGGGAGGGCTTTCAAGGGACTATAAACAGCCCCTTGGCTGCATGCTCCTCTGGGCTCCCCACCCCTCGAAGCTGCACCTGCAGAAAGGTAGGCGTACACTGTTAAGGAGAGCTCCAGCATGGAGGCCCTGGTAGTGTCTCTCTTGCATGCGGTCTCTCACCATCTGCTACTCAACCCTCCTTCCCTCTTGTCTCATGCCTTAGCTCAGTGATGGCAAACCTTTTAGAGAACGAGTGCCCAAAAACTGATCCTGCTCCCGCTCCATCCTCTACCCCGCCCCTGCTCTGCCCCCACCCCGTCCCCCGCCCTGCCTGCCCGCAGAGCCACTTACCACCTCCAGGGCCCGCTGCAGATCGCCCAGGCAGCCCAGCAGCGCCAATGGCAGCCACGCCCTCTACCCTTGCCCCACAGCATCAACTGTGCATGATGGGGCGTGAGGCAGAGTCTTGTCCACGCTGCCTGGCTGCCATGTCCTTGGCTGCTCTGCTCCGCATGGGCCACACTTGGGGGCAACTCTCCTCCAGGGGGGCTGCTGGTGAGGGGATCGCGGGGGGAGGCGAGATTGGGGCAACAGCACGTGTACCCACAGAGAGGGCTCCGAGTGCCGCCTCTGGCACGCGTGCCATAGGTTTGCCACCACTGCCTTAGCTCATGCACATTTCAGTGGGCTATCCCAGTGTTGGAAGCTGGAGGGTTTTTGTTTGGCTTCTACTTTTTAAAAATAAATCATCTTCTTCCAGGGACCCTTTAGTGACCTCTCATGGAAACCCAGGATGGATCTATGGAATCCTGGTTGAGAAGCCCTGGACCAGAGACTCCCAAGGAAGAGAAATGCCTTTATGCCAAGGTCTGAATGCCCATTAAGTCTGTTGGCATAAAAGGAGGATAACAAGCCTCAAACTGCTGCAGCCTGACACATTTTCTTCTGCTTTGCTTTCTTTCTTTTTTTAAAAAATGAATTTATTTTTGAGTTCGTGGTTAGGACTGCTGACACTCCAAAGAGTCTGTCTTGTTTTCAATCCCAACACTGAATTCTTAAGGCTCTCGGGAAAATAAACTATAGCAGGTTTTCTACATCTTTGTAGAGTCCTCTGTTTGTTTTCTTTCACTAACAAGCCAGCTCCACACTTCCTTCTCTACAAGGGACTTCAAATAATAAAGCGACGGCTATTGAAATTTAACTAGAAGACCACACAAAATAATGGAAGTTATTCTTTATTAACAATCTATTCTGATCGTTAACAACCCAACCTGTTTGCTTTTGGAGTATTGCTATCTACCCATACTAGTTCTACATAGTGCTCATCTGTTATTAAATAATTCTTAACACTTAAATATATCTTTTCAAAGAGCACAATTATGTACCGCCTTAGTGACGAAAGATCATCATAAATACATAGATGTCCTTATGAAGATATTATACAGGAGAAAGACAAATGTAACTTACCAGGTCCATTTAAGTATTGTGTGAGTGAACAGTGCAAACGCACAATTATAGGCTCTGTGCGGATTACATCCCAGGCCACTGCAATCTCTTCCTGAATGAAGAGCACAACAGAACTTGTTAGCCATTATCAGCAAATTTACACTGGACATATTTTTGGGGCAGCTGGCCAAGGAAATAAAGGTGTTCACCTAAGTTCCTTTCTAAACTGATTGGCCAAGGCATGTGTGATATCAGCTGTTATCTAATATACAAAAGGTCAGTAATAGAACTAAATTGGGACTTGAACAGGAACTAGCTCTGCAAGTGGAAAGAAATGCCAAATTTGCATGGTCATAATAGCAAATAAACTTTGTTCTGGAAGATTTGATTTTCTGAACTTCCAGAAATGAAACCAAATTCAACCACCATCTTTTACACTTGGGAAGATATATTCATTGGTACATACAGTACATCCTTTGTATGTAATAGGTTCCAAGTTCTTTTTTAGGTATCCCCAAATTGGACTGAAAAAAACATGCTTGTGACATTAGAAATCACTGAAAAGTAACAGTGTGCAACAGGTAACTTAATGCTTGGCAGGTAAATAGGAGAAAGATACAACCACACTTGTTGGTAGGGATTCCATTTTCCTCTGAGAAAAGATTTTTTTAAATTTATGTTTAGTCTATCTGAAGGCTTTGATACACTTTGTGTATAATTTCCACCTGGCTATGTTGAGAGTACAGGATCCTACCACAGATTTTTATTCATCACTTTCAGAGGTAGGTCTGAGGGCCACAAAATATGGGCTCAGGAGCTGCACTAGAGATTGGTTATCTGTGGTATAAGCAGGTGATAATAGATAATACAACTTCCATCAGGAATGTGTGAATCAATATAAATCCAATCTATTTTGCAATCCATGTTTTCATAAAGAGCTTTTGTACAAAAGTTTGCCTAATGTAGTATTTTTAAAATCAATTCTCTACTACATCTTCTTAATAAGGATAATGCAGAACTATTATTCTGTATTACATACATTCTCCGTGTAACCTTTTCTTCTCAAGAACACAAGTATCCTGTTTTTGTATAGAACTTTTAGAAATCTTTAGAGATGCTTTCTTTTACAGACACAACTGGGAAAATGTTTTACCCAATGAGATTAGTTGATCGTAACTCAAGGTGTGTCGCATCGGGCTTAGTTGAGGCAGATCTCACAAATGTGTTTCCAAAGAAATCTAGGGCATATTGCTTTTATAGGAATTTACCTTTGGAAATCATTCTGCAAATATTTCCACTGAAAACAGAAACACATTCTTCCCAATGCAAGAAAAAAATATGAAGTTAAAAAAAGAGATAACTGCCTGTGAACAGTTGACTTCATATCCTGCTGAAAGACAAAGACAGTTGCTTATCAACCTTCATTATAAACCTTGTTATTAGTTTACTTACATCAAGAAAGCTAACATCAATATGCAGATCAATATCTACATCATCAATGGCTCCATATTCCCTGAAAGGAAAAAACTTACATTATATCTAAGTCTGATACTTTTAATCATCCTTCTCAAGCTAACTGGCTATCTGAAGAGCAGCTTGAGCAGAAAAACTGCTCTTATAATAGTGAGAGAATTTTGATTTGCCAATGGATTAGGATAAACATTTTTTTAGTGAAAGAATGAATGTACTGTATGCTGCGGGTCCCCTATTCATAGATTAGCAAAACCTTGAAGAGTGCATGCTAGTGAAAATAGACAGGATTTGACTAAATGAACAGTCAACCCTAAAGTACACAAAGAATGAATAAGCAAATATAACAGCACAGTCAAGCATCTCTCCCAATAAAGAAGCTTTGAAAAAAATTATAGCGAATGAATAGTATATGGAAATGTGATTTCATTGAATTCAATATTTGCTTAATAATAAAATGATATAAGAGAATATTTGTAGTTCAGTGTGAACTGTAGGGTCTTTGGTGCTCTGTAAGCTTAGTTGTTTTCGTACAGACATTTTAGTATCAAACTAGGTAACATCATCAGTGCAGTGATGATGTTATCTAGTTTGGTAATGAAAGGTTAATAATAAACACCAAGCAAATGTAACTACTTTTTCAAGCTCATCAATTATAAATATTGTTTAAGCTCATCTGAAGAACCAACGTTGTATTCCCCAGACTTTTCATATATAACAAAACTGTACTTCAGAAATTAAGAGGAATCTTAAAAGAAAAAAAGAATAAAAATATTTTGGTTCTAATGCATGCTTAATGATGGCCAAGAATTTATCCTCTAGAATGAATCTGGGTGGAACCAATAGTTTTGTTATTCTGTCCAAAGAAAGAAAGATTAGCTTTTTTAAATTCCTTGACAACAATTTTATCTATCATTTTCTATACAGTTATTCTCTTATCAATGCTGTCCAGTATTTGACAATTGCTATAATACCTTTCTTTTATATGTAAGAGAAAGCACAGGCTTTCTCTTAACTAGGCTGCAAACTTCTTAAATTGCTAAATTCATTTAGAATAACAATGGGCAGCAAACACATTCCTTTCATCTTATGAAAGAGATAATGCTTTTGAAATTTTATTTCAAGAAGGAACTTTGGTAAAATTTCATGGATGATCTTCTTGCACTTATTCTAGCTCTCTCTCTCTCTCTCTCTCTCTCTCTGTGTGTGTGTGTGTGTGTGTGTGTGTGTGTGTAAGTATCCAGTTCATCTTTGTGCAATGATCCCTCTGGCAAGCTGCAGCCTTCCTGGCTTCCTCTTGTTCACTCATAGCCAAGAGAAGACACCATAAGCGGACTCCTCCAGTGTGTGTGTGTGTGTGTGTGTGTGTGTGTGTGTGTGTGTGTGTGTGTGTGTATGTATGTATGGCAGGGGGAATTATGATTATGTTGATAGATAGGGAATATTCAGAAAAGAACATAACCAGCAGTTGCCTCTTCTATCATTTCTAAAAAACTCAAAAAAACATCAGCAAGAGAATTTTAAAAGAAATTCTCAAGCGCCCCCCCCCCCCAAAAAATAAGGTAGAAAAACAGACACCTCCTTCATAAAAAATTGAGAAGTTGCAGGGCAGTTTTTGGCACAGCATTAATTTTGAATCTTCTTAATTTAGGAATATCCAAAAAAAATCCAATAAAAAAATGGTTCGCCTATTCCCAAATATCTGCCCTAGTTATAAAACACCCATGAACCAAAATTGATTAAGCAGAGAGTATACATTATCATCTCCTCCTCAGATTTTTTTTTATTACTCCAGATTACTTTGGTTTTCTAAACATGCTTCCAAATCAATCACTGGCTGTCAAAAAAGACTTGTATAGGCCATGTGGAGTCCAGACTCATTCTTGTAGTAAATACAGATGTGGCTAGAAACTGGCCTTCTCTTTTGCAACATTTCAGCTTCTCATTTATTTCTTGTAATAATAAAAAAGTCCAGTAGTGCAGAGAGTCTGATAAGCCCCAAGAAAAAACAGTTCCTTGTCCATCTCTTGTCTAAATATAAATATCTTTATGTTACAGGGCTATGTTATGGCAGCTTGAAAAAGCACTGCATGTTATTGATTGATGAGTTGGAATGGAAAGTGGGAATGAGGCCTCCTATGAAGGTGACCCTGGTTTAATTTACAGTGATGTCCCAGTTGCCAGACTAGGTTATGGAAGTTGGAGACTAGCCATAAAGCTGAGAGTAAAAATCAATCAGTATTCAAGGGAGCATTTTTGACCACCAAGGAAGTTAAAACACACTCAACAGTTTGCACACAAGAGAGGGGTTTTTTTTAAAAAAAGAAAGTGATGCTTCCTCATTTATTTGTTCATATATATATATATATATATATATATATATATATATATATATATATATATATATACATACACATACATACATACATACATACACACACGAGAGCTGTAATTAGAGCGCAGCCCAATCAATTGGGACCGGTGACAAGGTCCAGGAGCCGGGCGCAAACGACATGTTATCTATAAAGGAACTCTCCCATGGACTGGCATTTAACCCTGACGATGTCGGAAGCTACCGACGAAAGCTTGGTGATTATTAATGGTATTAAACTTTTCTAGTTTATTATACTCCTGGTGCTCACGTTTTATTGATTTGAAGATGATTATACCTAGGAGTCACGTTTTTAGTTTTAACGTTATTAGCAATAAACACACGCACACACACACACACACACACACACAAAGCGATATAGAGCTTTTCAACCATAGCTGTTATCAGAACATGCAATTAAAATGATTATCTTATTCATTTCCTCCTTGGACTTTAATCTCCAACATTCTGTAAACTCAATGAATTTCCACTTAATTCAAACAGCATGTAATGAAAATATTTTTCCCCCTGTACATATTGTCAAAGGAACTGGAATGTACACTCGCAATTCAATTTACATGTCACTGAGCAAATTAAAAAAAGAATGTTAAGGTATCTTTTGCTTCACTGTGGGTCTGGATAACTGGAGTGAGTGCGAATGAAATAGCCCTAGAAGGTTATGTTCAAAAACTGACAAAGCATTCAGATTAAGAGAAAGACAAGGCTGTAATCTGCAATAACATTATACCTAGAATCCTAGTGAAGACTAGTCCATTGTAAAGTGCACTATAAACTGATCCATAAAGATTAAATGCCATATAAAGCAAGTGCAAAAAGTGGGATGGGCATTATTCAAGGGAGTTTTGGCAATTACAATGACCACTTTTTCCCTGGCAGTGATTTATTTTGATTGATTCATGTGGAATACAAGTATGACATTCAGTTTATGAATAAATGAATGTACTGTACTATCAAGATTCTGGGCCAGCCTATACATGAGAGTTACCAATTGCTGCAATCATATGAAATAAAGGAAGAAAGCCAGTAATATATCAGTCTATGACAGTATGCTGAAGACGTTAGGCAGGAACTGGAACTGAAGGTACAATCCTAGGGATGCATATTACAGGGTGGAAAAAATCACTGTTAAACTCTCTACGTTCATGACAGTTGAACTACAGCCTCTAATAGGTTCAGGAAGCACTGGCAGTTTCATGAAATGTTAGTCAGCATCACTTACAGGAACACAACTTCCCTTTCTATCTAAATCTATTTAGGATTGTGGCTTTAAGAAAATCAGTTTAACTGCAGTTAATATGTTTTTAGAAATAATGAACTGACTCACCTAAGTTGGCAGTGAAGTTAAAAAGAACATTTTAAGTATGTTTAAGTTAATTGTTAAAAATAACAATTAAAAACGTTTATAACACTCATCACCTAATTCAACTTTTGCTCTTTAAATAATCTCATTATTCCAGTAAATAAACCAAGGTATGCCTCTGAAAAAAAGATTTTTCATAGAAGCCTAGAGCCAGCAATTAGGACTTTTGTGTATTTACTTTCAAATTTAATCTCCTATTTTAAAAAAAAAATGAAGAAAAACACCAATGTTCTAAGCAGCAATGAATATCTAAATCTTGTTACTATAACTGCTTCCCATAATGCTTTGATGCACAAACAGTTAGAGGCATTGTGGGACATTTAAATGGATTTTAGAAAAGTTCTGACTTTTGCCCAGAATTTTTCCAGGCCTGCAACCAATTCTGCCTATATTGATTTGACTATTTTCCATTAGAATGGCCAAATAGAAAACATTCTGTTTGAATGACTGCCTGGTTCAGTTTCAGTGTAACTTAAAAAAAATTCAGGGCTTTGCAATGTGTCTCAAGATAGCATCTAGATCACCGAGTTAGAATTTCCTTATGAAGAAAAGAGAATTATATTGCTATTTAATTATAATTATATTTCTTTTTTTAGTTGTTTAATGCAAATGGCTGTCCATCTTATAGCTAGATTTGTATGTTCATTCTTTAGCTTTCATCATATTTCTGATGAAATACTTTCTCTTTTTTGTCAAAATATAAGTGTTTATCCATACTTTTCCTTTCTTACAT